GGTGCTCTATGCCATGGCTTTATGCCATTGCATTTTGCCACCTGCATTTATGCCATGTGCTTTTGCCACTGCTTTGCTTTGGTTTTGCCTTTAAAATTAATGTGCTAATAAATAACTTTATAGCAACTGTTAGCTGCTTGGCTTTTTGAAAAAAATAACCCGACAGTGTAGGTGCCTAGAGCACCCGGAGGTTCCAAAACCTCACAGGGAAGAATTTCTTCTAACATCTAATCTAAGTCTTCTTTTAAAATGTTCCTCCTTGTTCTGTCACTATCTGTGTAAAAAGTTGTCACTACTAGTGTAAAAGGTTGCTCTCAATCTATTTTATAAGCCCTCCTTAGGTACTGAAAGGCTGCAGTGAGGTCTGCAGTGGAGCCTTCTCCAGGCTGAACAGCCCCAGCTCTCTCAGCCTGCCTCCAGGGCAGAGGTGCTCCAGCCCATTCTCTGAATTCCTCCTTGACTGCAAATACAACCCATCTCTACAAAGATGTGTTTGCAGATCTGGTCTGACTCAAACTTCAAGTTTATATGGTAAGTGTTGTTGGATCTTAACTTCTCCTACTGGCCCTTTCCACAACCACATTACCCTTCTCTATGACATGCCTTCCCATCTTTTCTTTGTTCTCCAAAGTGCCTCATAACCAGTTAACCTAATAACAGAACTTATACATTTAAACAATTAATACCTTTGAGGTGTACTGGAAGATGTCAGCAATGATCCGCATGGATGGCTCTGGGGGGAAAATGTAGGTATTTCTGACCATGAACTCCTTCAGGATGTCATTCTGGATTGTCCCTGTCAGCTTGGCCTGAGGCACTCCCTGCTCCTCCCCAGTGACAATGAATGTAGCCAGCACAGGAATGACTGCCCCGTTCATTGTCATGGAAACTGACATTTTCTCCAAAGGAATTCCATCAAAAAGGATTTTGGTGTCTTCCACTGTGTCGATGGCAACTCCAGCCATTCCAACATCTCCTCGAACTCGGGGATTGTCTGAATCATACCCACGGTGGGTGGCTAAATCAAAAGCAACTGATAATCCTTGCTGGCCAGCTACATGAAAAAAAAGGAAAAACCCAAAAAACAACAAAGAGAGATAGTCAGAAGGGTTGAACAGACTTACATTAGGATGGGATCTAAGTTTATTTACTCTATTTTACATGATTCAGGCTTGGATGATGATTCAGGCAAAGTCAATTTTGATGTTAAACACTGTTCCCTCCTCAAACCTGTCCAAGGTCTAGTAGTCTTAAACTTTATATGAGAAAGTTTTTAACTGGGGAAAAAAAAGCCAAAAAGGTAGTCCTTACTGTGCTTTAAAAGTTGCTGAATAACAGCTCACCCACAAATTATAAATATGCCTAGACAGGCAGTATAAGACCTCATACATGTAACTCAGCTTGGCTTAGCTAGGAACAGAAGTGTCATAAACTCTGTCACGTTACCTTGTCCTTATCACAAACTAAACACATACAGACTGTTCTCTAGCTCTACTGGCACATTGCTATCTGTAAATCTGAAGTAAGAGAAAATTATTCATATAAAGCAGAGACCAGGACAGCCAGAGCTCTTGTTGCTGTAACTTGAAAGCAGAACCCAAAACTCTGCTGTCCCCAGGCATTCTCCCCCTGACCAGTGACTGGGCTGTGCTATCAGCAAACCCAGGATACCACTTCTGCTTCAGCTCCGTGATCTCAGCTGCTTGAACTCTGGGATGGATCCAAATTATGTCTATGTGTTAAGGTACAATAACTAAAATCAGCATTTAACATTGATTCTCCACAGCAAAATGAAACAAAGGCACTTCCAGAACCGATCAAATTTCCCAGTAATAAAGAAAGAAAGGGCCACTGGGAAGACCTTATCAGAAATCCAAACTCATAAAGTAGAATAATCACATTTGCCATGTAACTGACTGAATTCATGTCCCCCATTGGTTCACAAGGCAGTGTTGTTTCCCAGACCAGCTGCCCCACCTTTGATGTTGTCCTTGTAGAATTTGTTGCTCTCCTCCACTGTGCTGAACCCAGCATACTGGCGGATGGTCCATGGCCTGTACGTGTACATGGTGGGGTAGGGCCCTCGAGTGAAAGGCTTCATCCCTGGCAGCTCCTCAGGGAAGTCCTCTGTGTCCCTTTTGGAGTATAGAGGCTTGATGTCAATCCCTTCTGGGGTGTGCCAAATTAAATCCTTTGGGTTCTTGCCTTTCAGCTGTTTCTGAGCCAGGGCAGCCCACTCGGGGTGCAGCGGCTGCCTGTGCAGGGAGCGCCAGGCCAGGAGCGCGCAGTGGCGCGGCCGCAGCCGCAGCACGGCATCCCCGGCCCTCAGCATGGCTCTCCTCAGTGTGGGGCAGGCTGGACAAAAGAAAAACATATTTTGAATTATCATGTGCACCTAACAGAGGAGATGTGAGGACGGAGAGGTCAAGCGGTTTGCTAAAGCCAAAACAATCCCTCAGGAGAAAAATGAAATGTGATATTCATGCACTGATTTGACAGACAGCCCTTCCTCTTGCCTTTCAACCAGGAACAGAGTTCAGGAAAAATCCTACATTTTCCTCTAACCAAGAAAAACATTCTCACAACTTATCTACATCCACATCTGAGATGTGTAACTTATTTCAGTCCCTCAGCATCTCTGTCATTAATCAGTCACTGAGGAGCCAGTGTGAGGCATGAAGATGGCACGGCCAGCTGCCCTCTCACCTTCACATCCTTCCCATCTAGGAACTCCTTAATGTCAAAGAGCGATGCTTTCCCAGGGATGGGGCAGCTACAGCTTCTCTGGGAAATGTGTGCCAGTGCCTCACCATCCTCACAGGGAAGAATTTCTTCCCAGTACCCAAAATCAAGGAAGTGCTCTGCAGGAAGTGAGCTGTCAGAAAATCGCTGATATAATCATACACGTTGAAGAAGATGGGCTGGACAGGAACTAGATATAGGTTGAAAAAGAAAGGAGAAAAAAAAAGTGTGAGAACACAGGGACAAAACAAGCTGAAGAGCTTGTCCCATTATGTATGAGACTAATGGGGCAATAATCTGAACAATTCCCTGTGAGAGTGGTGGGGCCCTGGCACAGGTTGCCCAGAGAAGCTGTGGCTGCCCCTGGATCCCTGGAAGTGTCCAAGGCAAGGCTGGAAAAAGCTTGGAGCAACCTGGGATAGTGGAAGGTGTCCCTGTCCATGGCAGGGAGTGTTGAAACTAGATGACCTTTAACTCCCAACTCAAACCATTCTGAGTTCAGTAACTCCTAAAAGCTGTAAGCTCCTTTGCTTCTGCTCTCCATACCTTATCCTTGCACTTCCTTACAAAAACAAAACCTTTACAGATTGGCTCCAAGGGTCAGTCATCTCCTCACTGCCTCATCTCTTTCAGAACTCCCAAGAAATACACACTTCCTTGACACCTTTATGAGAAATCCTGCATAAAACTGGAAAGCACCTGTATCATTGAAGCAACACCCTCCAAACAGGTGCTTTGATAATATATATGCTAAGTGCGGTATGCCTATAACCTGAGGAGCACAGAGGAGCTCCTGAGGAGCACTCAGGCCCTGCAGGGATGTGATGCTGCAGCCAGGATGGAAGGCAAGCTGTGCCCACACCCCTGCATGGGTCACAGGATGGGTCAAGTTGGAAGGGACCACAGTGGCTCATTTGATTCAACCTTCCTGCTCAAGCAGGGTCATCCCAGAGCTCAGGGCACAGGGTTGTGTCCAGACAGTTCTGGAATATCTCCAGTGAGGAAGACTCCACTCCCTCCCTGCACAATCAGTTCAGTGCTCGGTCACTGCTCAGTAAAGAAGTTCTGCCTCCTGTCCAGGTGGAACTTGCTGGGATCAGTTCCTGCCCGTTCCTCTGGTGCCATTGCTGGGCCCCTGGAGCAGAGCCTGGGCCCTGCTCTGACCCTCCCTGCACACAGGGACACCCAGGGATGAGGTTCCCTCTCAGGATCTCCTCTCCAGGCTGAACAGCCCCAGCTCCCTCAGCCTTTCCTGGGCAGGGAGATGCTCCAGTCCCTCCATCATCTTTGCCACCCAGCACTGGACACACTCCAGGAGCTCCATGTCTCTCTTGTCCTGAGGAGCCCAGAACTGGACACAGCACTCCAGATGTGCCTCCCAGGGCTGAGCAGAGGGGCAAGGATCACCTTCCTGCCGGCAATGCTCTTCCTAACACACGCCAGGATTATTCCTGCCCCGCTTCTGGAAGCTGCATTTACCCTTGTTAAGTTTCAGACATTTCTTCTCAGCCCATCTCCCATCCCCGCACCCCAAGAGGACCCCAGAGCCGCCCTGTCACCCCCTCTCCGCACCTCTTCCCCCTCAGCACCCACGGCCGCACGGGAACGCTGAGCTCTCCGCCTCCAACACGCCCCTCGGGCGACCAATGGGGACGGGGGGCCGGGCCGGGAGCTGGGATAGGGGATAAGGACAAGGACAGGGGCAGGGCTCTGGGCTGACATAGTCAGGGACGTGGAAAGGGATCAGGATAAAGATCAGGATCAGGACAGGGATGGACGGCGCTCCCCCCGTTACCTGTCACCGACCCCGCCGTCAGCGCGCGGACCCCGCGCACGCGCGGTGGGCGGGAGCGGCGTTGGGCATGCGCCGAGGGGAGCGCGGGTTTGTTTTGTAACGTCCCGGCGGGCTGAGGCGGGAGTGGCGGCAGCGCCGAGGAGGGGGAGGCTGCGCCGGGAAGGTGAGACTTGGAGCGAGATGAGCCGGGAGGAGAGGAAGGGTTTTGTGGAGGTGTTATCCGTGATGCTATCCGGCAGCACCGGGGGAGCGGGCATTTGGGGATGTGAGGGGGTATGGGTGTGAAGGACTACAACTCCCAGCATGCACTGCGATGGGGTGAATGTCTTAGGCTGCGGGGGGGAGGTGCGATACGTGCCGGGAGTTGTAGTCCGTGCCCTATTTGCGGTCTGCTGTGAAAGCTGTCCCACAACGTCGGTTGTTACGGAGACGAGGACGGGCAGGGCTTACTTACCTGATTTAGGGCTTATTTAGCGGGTGTGGAACTTATTTACCTGGCATATAATTCATATACCTGTTTTAGGCCTCACTAACCCGGCCGGGGCTTATTTGGCTGCTGGCAATTTCGACACTTGAGTGACAGGACCTGAGAAGGAAAAAATGGCCTGAGGGTGTGAGGGAAAAACTGAATAAATCCGAGTTGTGGTGCTTTAGAGACGAGAAGGGTGGTGGGGTTTGTGGCTACTCCCTTCTGAGTGACTGCTTTTCCCTCTGTCTCTATAGTAAAAAAAGAAACTAGGTTTAAACTGCATCAGAGACCACTGTATTTAGGTGTTAAGGTAAAAAGTTCTTGGTAATTGGATGACTGTACTGAAAATTAGAAAGATAAATTATAGAATTACAGAATGGTTTGGGTTGGAAGACACCTTAGATATCATCTGTGTCCAACTCCCTGCTATGGGCAGAGACATCTTCCAAATGGGGATGCTTTTTTAGTGGTCCTATATTTAGGTAAATTTACAGGATTTGGGCTCTAGGTTAGCAAATATTCAAACATTTAATCTCATTTAGGCTCATTTGGGGCTTGAGTCCAATTTACTTAATTTTGTTTTTTAAAGTGTGTTGTGCACTGTCTGGGTTATAATTGCTGGATTTTAATTTTGTCTTTGTTTCCTCCTATTCCCGTTGGTTTACAGATAATGAAACCTCGCCACACATCTTCCAATAAAATGGGGAAACCAGCTGGCGGGAGATCAGCAAAAAGTCCTTTAAAATCACAAAATCAACAAGGGCCTTCCAGCAAAAAAAAGCGAGCAGATGAACAAGATAAAAAACAAAGTAAAAAAAGACAGGTATTCATTATTTTGGATCAAACAAAGTAGAAAAGTAACTGGGGGAGGGGGCGGGAAGGGGAAAGAGGAATTTTTTCCCATTTTTTAAATTAGAACTTATAGAGAATAATTCATTGACTAAGCATAGTCCTCTCGAGGAAATGCCCGGTGTGAAGAGCTCTTTTGAGCAACCTTCAATAAAGCTTTTTTTGTTTGTGGTCAGTGTCAAAGACTTCTGTCAGATGCTGGCATAGTGAGTTCATAGGAGTAGATGAATGATTGCACAGCAGAGGATGTCTCAAAATTGCCACATTTGCTGTAGATTTTTCCCTTCAGCAGGTCCCTCAGACAGTCCAAAGGGAAGTTAAGAAACCAGAGGACTATTCCCCTGCAGGTAGGGTCCTGTTCTTTCCTGTTAAATTTGAACTGTTTTATACCTTTAACTCCAGTCTGACTGAATTGAGTCACAAAGCTGTCTGTCCAGGTTTGACAAGTCATACCTTTTCCTTTTTTCCTTTGTGATAACAGGAGAAAATGGTTCTTCAAAAAAGGTGAAGCTATCCAGGGCTGCAATAGGCTCTTGGCAGCCTCTCACAGAGAACAGTAGGCAGTTACTGGAAAATATGGTGGATTCAGTAGTACTGTAAGTGCCAAATATCCTGGTGATTCTTCTTTGTTTCCTCAAGGAACAAAGTAAAAATCATAATATTACTTGAACTGGAAGTCAGTGTGATTTTTGACATGTTCTTTGTGCTTGCAGACTTTGTGATGGAAATTCTGCCTGTATTTGCTTTCCAGATCTGTTTTGTCCCAACAGAGGGAGAGTAAAGATGATGTTCAGAAGCACCTCAATGTACTGAAAGAAAGGTAAGAAATTACAAATTTTAAAAAAAAAAGAGAGAGAGAAGGGATTTCTTCTACCCAGTTGTTTTGAACCATACTTTGAGGGCGAGCTAAAGCTCTCTAGTTATATTTAGATACATATATAAAGTTTTATATATTATGTGTCATAAAAGCATTTCCAGGTTTTACTAAAATAATCATCATTTGGTTGCAGCAAAAAATATTCCTCTTAGAACTTATTTTGAAAAGCAGAAGGATCAGAACTGGGAAAATACTTGGAAAATATTAATTAATATAATTTTATAGTCAGGGAGTGTCAAGGCCAGTGGAATATAAACCACACAAGGTCAGTCCATTAGCAAACATGAGAATTTTGGGATTTCTTGTTGCTGGTTTCTTCCTTGGACACCTACTCCACATGATTTTGGAAAACAATTCAAGGGTGTTTTTCTTTCTCTCTACAGTCTTCTACTTCACTGGCAGCAATTAAGTTTACAATTATGAGATTAAGTTTAAAATAGTGAGATTAGTTTTTTCCCATAATGTTTTTTTTTTTGCTTTGTGAAGAACTCCAAACAAGTCATGCTTTCCTTTTTCTGTAATTAAAGGGTGCTGAGAAGTTTCAGGACTTTAAAGGTGCCTCCAGGGAAACTGGGCAACCTGAAGAATATCCTGAGCCTTCAAATGGCAGAGAAACAAATGCTTGAGACAAACGAGGAGTCTTTGCTACAGCTGCAGGTATGAAAAGCAAGGAAGGGAAAAAATTACCACACTGCTGGCTGTGCCTGTGCTGTTGTGGAGTGTCCAGTGTTCATCATAGTCACCCACCTTTGCTGCAAAGCTCTGCCTCTTTTTGCATGTTTTTTTCAGTGACTCTGTATGTTCTGTGGGAAAGACTCACCATCTGTAAAGCAAATTTTCTTCTGGTTTTTTGTCTGTTTCATTTCAGGAAGAAATAACTGAAGCAGAGAGATCAGCAGAGCGCATTGAGGAAAATATACAGCAGCTGCAGTACAAAATCCAGGTGCTCAAGAACCAGTTAGAGGAAGATGAAAAAAATGCCAGGAAGGTATTTCTCATAAATACTTGTGTACTCCTATAACCTAGAGCTAATTTCCAGAGCTTTCTCAAACAAACTGTTTCTCAGGCAGTGTTGTTTAAGGAGGGCCTCATTTGCCTTTGGGAATGGATCTTCTTAATCTTCCCAATTTCAGTTGCAGAATTACGAAGTTTGGTTTCAGAAGTTGAATAATGACAGACAGGTTATTTTCCTACTTGTGTGCCTAATATTTGGGGGTTTGGATTTTTTCATTCTCTTCTTTTTCTAGGTATTCCAGGAAAACGGCAGTGGAGCACTCCGCCTCCCAGAACTCCCCCAGCGGAGTTTGCAGGCACCCACTTTGCAGGTGAATGTGGAATGCATATTTATCTTTTCAGAGACACTTTGGTTATGAGGAGGAAGGCAACTGAATGTGCTTTTATCCCTTAACCTCTGTCAGAGGGAGTAATTCTGAAAATTCAGAAAATTTGAATAAGTTTTCATTTTCCTTTTTTAATTTTTTTTTAATTTTCATTGAGAGCTATATGCTTATGTTTTAAAATCAGGACGAAATCCTAAAACACTCCTCATCTCTGGAAGTGTCCAAGGCCATGTTGGATGGGGCTCTGAGCAACCTGAGATAGTGGAACCTTGTGGGAGGTGTCCCAGCCCACAGCAGAGGATTGGAACAAGCTGGTCTTTAAGGGCTCTTCCAACCCAAACCATTCTGTGGTCTTAGGATATAAAACATCGTATGTCTTTTCCTAGAAACCCTATGGCCCAAGGGAGCTTGTAATTTCTGAAATATGTCTGTAATTGCTAGAGGGAAGACTCGTTCTGTGACTTTGAATCTTTTTTGTTTTAGCTGTAGCTGGGCTACATGAAAGTGAAATTCCTGTTGCACTTGACAAAAGCTGTTTTTTTATTTGTTGTCTATCATTCTTCTTCAGGAAGAAATTTTGAAGGTAAAGAATCAGAAGGACCTTTTAAAGGATTTGAATGCTATTCATCGGTCAGCTGATTTGAAGAACTTGTTAACCCTTGTTGAAAAGACCTATGAGAAGGCGGATTTGCTTTGAGAAGCCAAAAATGTGTGGAGTCTCCATGCTGAGTTTGGAATCTACTTCCTGTTGTGACTGCTGAATTTCTGTTAAAACGTTTTCTATTAACATTGGTATATAAATCTGTAGATACATTTTGCAACTCTAGATTTGTCTGTCAAGGTTTTTTTGGGGTTTTTTTGACCTGTGATGACGTCTAATGATGATATACCTGGTCTTAAGAGAAGAGAGGGAAATGGATCCTGGTTTATTTGGGTGTTTTTACAGAATAATGGAACTGTTCCATTGTATTTGCACTTCTATATCTAAATCACTGAAGACAGCATCTTCTACCAAAGTAGCTTTTATCTAGGGTTTAATCTTCAAACCTGAAACAGGTGGTAAAAATAAACTTATCTAATACTCAGTTGTAAATCCCATGTCCAACTTTCTTACTATTTTTTAATAAGAATCCCTCAATTGGAGAAAATGGAATAATTTTTATCAAATGTATAAAATTGTTTTTATGTTTTCATTGCTTAATAAAAAAAAAATCAAGATAAAGTACTTTCTCAGGTTAAATTACCTGCTGGAATATAGCAGTGCTCTTTACACTGACTTGCCTCATAAACCCTTGTTCTTCTGCTTACAAGCTGCTGCTACTCTTAATGAGACAAAAGCTAATTATCTGTCTTCCATGGGGGCTTGAAAGCCTCTGGAATTAGAATCATGGAATATCTCAAGTTGGAATGAACCTGTAGGGCTCTCTGAGTCCAGCTCTCTACTCTTCACAGGATTACCTAAACCATGTAGGAAAACTAGTCTAAGTGCTTGCTTTGTACTGAGTCACAGGTAAAGGAATATAAATATTTAGAAGTTTTTCTCAAATTTGTGATCACTTGGCTAGGGGAAGATATACTGATATAACCATTACCCCAAAGTAAATTAATCCAGAGTATGGGTTAAAGATTTTCCTGCATGCTAGGAAAAGGTTAAGTAAAGATGTACTCTTTTGCTTTCGTTAAGGGTGATTTACTGTGTGGGTTTTGAACTTCTGAACCGCATAGAGTCCTTTTCCTTTTTCAAAATTATTTATTTTGAAAAGAAAGTGTGAAGAAGGGCAGTGAGTAAGAGTCAGATTCAGCTTCCACACAAGGAAGTTGAAATAGTAACTGAAGAATGAGCTTCTGCATTACAGTGCTGGATAGTTACAGAGGCAAGCCATAATTACTTTTTTTCCCTGACACTGGGTGATTTTTGATAGGCTGGCTGTGGTGTTATTACTTTGGGGTTGTTATGCACATATAAACAGGGCAGCATGAACCAGGGAACATAAATCCAGACATTTAGGAGGTCTTAGCTCGACTTGACAGTGGATAGTCTTGGACAGAGTTGTAGAACGATCAGATGGCTGGTTTTGATGAGATTTGAGGCTTCTTCCAGAATGTTCACTGTTGATCTATGTGTGTGGATCTGTGACCACAGCTTTGTGAAACTTCCTGAAACTTCAATTTCACAAACCTTGGCTTTAAGTAGGGAAGACATTTTCCCGTGTGTATGCTTTATTTACTGAGTTTATCCATTTAAGGAATACTTGGGGAAGATCTTAATGATCCTCTGGATTCAGGTCAACTTGGCTTCAAGTTTTTCTTCAGCAGTGATCTACAATAAGTACAGAGCTGTGATTTCTTTGCATGTGGCAATGGAAGTAGGGAGAAGAGCCAAGGGAAGAAGCTGTGCTGAGGCACTGAGAAATATCAGTATATCCAGCCCAGCTTCAAACCCAGCTGACTGCCAAGGTCAAACAGCCCTTCTGTTCTGACAGCCTGAACATCCCACATTTCTCTCCTTTTGCAACCTAAGCACAGCTTCGTGGTCCACATGTCTTTTGGGAAAAACCTGGACTTCTGAGCATTTTTTGGGATGTGCTTTCAACAAACACTCAGTGAAAATAGCAGCAAGAATAAGAAAGCTGACGGTCTGTAATATTTAGCCAAGATTAGGTGATCTAAGAGATTAATCCATGAGCCATCAATTACTTCACACTTCTGGTCCATTTCTGCCCTCTCCCAGTAAATAAAAAAAGAACACCACATTGGTTTAGAAGTACTGGAAACCTTAATTGAAATGTGGATTATTTTGGTCAAAGAATTAAGGAAACAGATGTCATGGAAAAATGATTTAAACATTTTAGAAGCACAATGAAGTAGAGCTCTAGGAACGTGCTACAGCACACATTTTATAGGGCTTGGGGATGATATTAAATGAAATGGCGGGGCTGAGGTCCAGGTCTGACTTGGAAACTCCAGGTGGAGGGTGGAAGTTGAACCTTTGCATGAGACTGGTGAAGAAGAGGAAAAGCTCCATTTTGGCAAGAGTTTCCCCAGCACAGATCCTCCGCCCTGGAACACAAAAGGACCACAAGAAAATCAGTGAGAGCTGTTTCTTCGGTATTGGAAGAAAAAAAAACAACCTCTTTTATCAGCTCTTGCTTTGAAAAAGGTCAGTGGGAATCCAGAACATTTGAATGTTATATCCTAGGTATGAATAAAGAACACAATAGATTTTAAAAATGTTGGGTACAAATTACCAGAGAAAGAATTTTGATCTTCTGAGGTATCATACCAAAGCCAGCTGGTGATGTTTTTTTATTTTCCTTTTTCTAAATGCTTGCAGTTAGAGAGAAATGTATGGAAATGTAGTCTGAATGCCTTCACTGCAGTTTTCAATAAAATCTGAATTTTTACTTCATTTTCACATTTTTTCTCTACTTAGCTCAATTTTTGGATCCCAAACCTCATGCTTTAGTCTAGGCTTTAGGTCTATTAGTCAAATCATAGGCAATTTTTTATATTAAAATTTGTCAGCAAAATCCTTGAAGATTCACAAATGCTGGCCAGAGTGGGACTGAGAAGCAAGGTGGAAGGGATATTCTATGGATATTCAAATGTGCTGTAAATATAAGTTCTGTCAATCCAGTAGGTAGTAAACTGCCTTATTCATAGCATGATGATTCAAGGCCAGAACTAACAAAAACCTGAATTAAAATTTGGTTTTAACACCCCTGTGTGACAGAAAGTGGAAAATGGAGAGCTATTGCATGGTTGTGATATGAAATAAGCCCTCCAGGGATTGCCCAGACATGACACTCCCTGGATGTGCTTTCAGCTAGGACATCTAGAATTAGGTCTGGAAAATAACACCTGGGAACTGGAAGTGTCATTAAAAAAAAAAGTAAAATTATGGTGTACTGGATGGTGAGTATATACAAAGAGGGTTGATTAAAAAAATGGAGAGTGTTGTGGATATGATAAATTAATTATCCAGAGACTGATGTATGGGAACTTTAAAAGAGCAATTACAGAGCCTGCAAAGCAGGAGAAATGCCAGAGAAGGATCAGGATTGGAATCCCATGATTTGGCAAGTGGTGCAGGTGTGTAAACTCAGGTGAATGTCACGCTCTGGGGAAGCCACAAAGGGCAAGCCCCTTCTGTCCTTTGATTTTACACAGAATTTGGGGGTTTCTGTGGCAACTCCTTTTTGTCACACTATATGAAATCTTGACCCAGCCAACATTTTTTGTGACTTTTTAAAAGGGACATGGAAAAATGAAGCAGGACTTGCACAGAAACATCTTTGCTGTGTGTTCTGTGTAAATGTAAAAGAGAAAGCACCTGCTGAAAAAGGCAAGAAAGCATCTTTCTTCACAAATTTCCCATTGGCATCGAGGAAGTGCTCAGGGTAGAACATGTCTGGTTTCTCCCACTGCGAATGGTCTTTCAGGACTGTGGTCAGTAAAGGGATGATGTAGGTTCCCTGCAAAATAGGACAGAGGAATAAATTCCTGGACAAATTCAGACAGAAGAAATGTTAAAAGAAGCAATCCTGTAGGCATCTCACCTTGGGAATGAAATAGCCCTTGAGGGTAACATCTGCAGCAGTCTCATGGGGCAGATTCAGTGGCAGGATATTGGCGTACCTCTGAATTTCATGGATGACAGCATCTGTGTATGGCATCTGAGCTCGGTGCTCGATCCGCGGCGGGTTGGACCCTATCACTTGCTCTATCTCTTCTTGCACCTTTTCTGAAGAGAGAATCCACTCTAAGATACAAGGACTCATTCACTGAGACACAGTGTGCTTTACTAATGTGAAGTATAACACAGCTGGAGTACAAACCATACGTTCTCCAAAAATCTTTTTGTCCTTTCAGAAATATTGGGAGATGAACAGGACTGCAGTGTTTGATTGATTCTTTAACAACAAGAAGCCTGAAGACTTTTTTTCTGCCATCTCTTCTGTCTAAAGATCCATGTTCTGCCCAATGAGTCTAAGCCCCCATTTGACTCCAAACAACCCTGTACCTTCAGCTGGAATGGAGATGCCAGACAAGGGCAACTCCATGAATCTTCTCAGGTCCCTAAACCTCAGTACAATCCGTTTAGTATCTGCACAGGCCTTTGGTTTATTGACAGTTTCTGAGGGAAACCTGGAACAATTTCATTGATCAACACAGGACAGCTCTTCACTTATTAATTAATGAAATTTCCCTAAGCAAAGGGCCTGGCCTGTAATGAACTCTGTGTCCTGCTGCTGGCCAACCAGTGTGACCCTCACTGGGTCTGATCCACAGAGCACAGAAGCAATAATTGGCTGGAAATCTCAGCTTTTTGTAATTTGGCTTATTAACAGATAGGTTGATTCTCCAGGTTCCTGTTTGGTCCCTAATACTCTGAGTGTAACATTATCTGTCATTAAATCACTTACTCTGGATTTCAGGGTACTTTAGCATCAGCAGAAAGCCCCAGTTCAGCGTGGTGGAAATTGTCTCAACACCAGCAGTAAACAAATTGCTCACCAGGCTTATCAAATTGTCATTATGGAAATACCCATTGGTAGTGGACTTCTCCTGAAAAAATCGATTGAGATGAAGGATGAAAACTCAAAGCTTTCCATGTGAAAATGCAATTTATGTAGATAAACATTTGCTAAGATAGAAACTCTGTATTTCAAAAAAGCATGAAAGACAAGGAAGAGCTTTGGGCTTGTGCCTGGAGGAGAGTGCTGGCATATCTTTGTATTTACTGAGACCATCTCAAAGGGAGCTGCCTTCCCCATGGCGAAGGTAACCCAGGCATATCAGAGACCCCAAATAAGTCCCAGTAAAGCCCAGGTAGTGATTCCATTCTGTAATGCATTATGTTTTCAAAAGAGCCAGAAGGGATGAGACAACAGAGAGAGCAGGTAAAAAGATGCAGCCTTGGTAAATACATTTATACAGTCTGAAGAAAATAAATAAGGATAAATATTCGCTGATTAAAAGAGGTTGGACCTTCAACAGTGTGAAGAATCTGTTCAATTCTACCACTTTGTCTACCACTTTGTCATATGTATTTTCTCAAAGACAGCTTCTCTAAAGAAATTCAGTTGTAATTGTAAAGAATGAAAGAAAATTGCAAGTGTCTTCACAGAACCATAAAAGATAGAATCAGCAAGAAAATTCTCAGTTACCTCCTGCTGTTTAACCAGGAAAGCATCAATAAAACTTCTTTGATCATTTTTGTCCAGGTTTTTGAGGTACTCTACAAAAGTAACTCGTAAAAAAGCATGGAATTCATCTCTGTTTCGGAGGATAGCCTTGTTTGCCCTTAGGAGGAATCCAAGGTATGGGAAGATATTGTACACCTGTGAGAGTGGAAGTTGTTAGAGAGAGTTGATCAGCCAGAGCTCTGAAAACACTACAGAAACAAATAGCAACATTTGGCTTTCTTTACAAATACAAAGTCAAAAACCTAAGATTAATATTTTGGTTTTTGGAACATGAAAAATGACTGGATGAACTCGTGGTAGAAAATTCATCAAGGACCACCCAACAGAATTAAAAATCTTGCCTCAAATTACTATTTTTCAGGAGTAGTGTAAGTGTCCGGCTCAAACAGCTTCAAGCTGCCACCAGGCAGATGGAAATTTTTTATTGTTTTAACCAGCTCTTCCACTAGCATTTTTTCTTTTCTTTTTGAAAACCTAGATAGACATAAATCAATCCAGGGTATGGCAGCATTGCCTGGAAGTATCCAAAGGTATTTTTCACTCACTAGCACTCTTCAAACTATATCTTAAATATATTTTTGAAAGACTGGGGGCTTGACTGTTGACTTCATGATTCTCAAACTGTCTCTCAAGGCTTTTTCTTTGTCCAAGAAAGTGCTTTGTAAACCTATTATCTCTCAGAGTCTCAGATTTTCCTGTGTAATAGAAGAAACTGATCACAAGTGTTGCTATTTTCCTGTGGCATCCAGTGGAACAGAAACATAAATATGTGAATCCTTACCGTAACCACAGGTTTCCCAGCAAGCCTCATGTTTTCATTGGTCAGATTTACAAGTCTTATAAATCTGGAGTCTTTGTAGTCAAATCGTTTTCCAAGCAATATTGACACAATTATATTAGCAACTGCTGCATTAATTATTTTGCTGAAATCGACGGGATTTCCTAGACAAACAAGAGACTTTATTACATTGTAATAAAGAGATGTAATTCGTAAATGTGTATTTATTGTTAAATATTACTATTTATTTGTTATGATTGATTGCTATCATTGATTATTATCTGTTTGAGTCTGAAAAACAGAGGCCTCTCTGAGTTCCTCAGAGAGAGATCAAAATGAAAGGTTTGAATTACAGTTTTTAGAGAAATTAAAGTATATTAAGCCACACATGCATGAAATAGAGGTGTAAGTTTAAGTTTTAAGTAAGTTTAAGTAAGTAAGAATATGTTTTAAGTGCCTTAAAATGTAAAAGCCCTAGACATCAGTGTCGAAAACAAATCTCAAAAATAAGTCCCAGTGAGAGCTCCAAAACATAGTTTTAAACATAATAAAAATATAATAAGAATATTGTTTACATTTTTCAGATAGAACAGATAGGCCATATGCATAGATTATACATAAACTTTCAAACTAAAAAACTAGAATTCTAATAGGTTAAGAAGAAATGCTTCAGGTTCATGTTTTTAGCTCATTGGCTAATTTCTAAATAAGAATTCGTGCATTGGGGAGAGATCCTCTCTCTCCCTCTCAGACTCTTTCTTCCTCCACCATCATCATCATCACTAGCACCACATGAAGAAGCAGAGGAACTAAAAAAAAGAAAAGAACAAAAGAAGAAAAGAGCAGAGAGCATCTGCCTCTCGAGACTCTGTACCAGGCTGCAGCCTCTGTCTCTGCTCAGGACTCTGTGCTAGGCTGCAGCTTCAGCCTTCTCGGGGCTTTGCACCAGGAGCTGCTTCTATTTCTAATCAGGACTTAACTTCTATTTGGGACTCTGTGCCAAAAGCTTTTAGCATGGACTTGAACACTTGGGACTCTTTGTTTTTTGAGTCTGATGTGCCTTTTCAATAAACAACTTAATAGCAACTAATAACTGCTCAGCTCTTCTAAAGAGAAGAACAAACACGACAATTATCCCAGGTCAGATAACCAAACCAAGACACAAAAATGCCAGAGGAGCCAAATTCATCAAACTGACGTACATTTCATAAAAAGGTCTGGACTTGAGAAGGTTCAAAAAGCCTCTGCATACTTGGACAAAACCCTAGAGATGGTGAGGCCCTGGCACAGGGTGCCCAGAGAAGCTGTGGCTGCTCCTGAATCCCTGGAAATGTCCAAGGCCAGGTTGGATGGGGCTTGGAGCAAGCTGGGATAATGGAAGGTGTCCCTGCCCGTGGCAGGGGTGGAACTGGATGAGCTTTAAGGTGCCTTTGACCCCAAACCAGTGTGTGACTGTGTGGTTGTGTAGGTTTGAAGAAGGAACAGTTCACCCACCCTGGTGCGAGGCGATGGTGTCTGCCAGGTGCCCGTACTCCTCCACAATCCGATCCTCAATGGCCTTTTTGCCCATCCCAAAGTCTCGCAAGGTTGTGAGGGCAAATCTTCTCATCACCTTCCAGTTTTCTCCATGAGCAAAAATAACCCCTGAGACCAAAACAACATTTCAGTGTGGCAGAAGATTTTAAATTCTTTTGTCGGCATAGAATGGAGCTGTTTTGTAGCAGTCAGTTTTAAAACAAGTTAAATTGCATCCAGATTAGGAAAAACACAAGTTTGCCATAAGTATTTTCAATCCTCAGCAATAGGTTTATTACACAAGAAAAGGTTAAATATTTAAGGTTTATTTAATCAAATCTTAGAAAGAATATATATACTCAAAGACTCTTGTCACTGAAAGAAGGTGGATATTGGATATTGGATATTCGAGTTCAAACTGCTGGTCATTATAGTTTGGAAGTTGAATTGAACTGAGATCTCTGATGACTGCAGAAAAAAAATAAGTAGAAACAAATGTCTAAAAAATTAGGTAATGTCTTAAAACCTCTGCCTTCAGTTTTTTTCACTGCAATTGTTACATCATTTAACTGATGACCTCATCTATGAGTTTTTTCCCAAATGAAAAAATAAAGTGAAACATAAGCTTTTATGCAATAATATGATCAAAAGATGCAGCTGGTAAAATGTTCACAGAATTATTCTTGAATTTGTCCAAGGATCTTTGGAGATATAAATATGAAATTCTTATGCTAAATTAGAATGAGGTTTGAGTATGAAATTCTTATTTTGAAACCGAGCTCAGTAGACAGTATTCCCTTTTTAAAAATAATTCCACAGTTCTCTATGTGCTTCATGCTATCTATTGTCATATTCTGAATTTAAAAGCACTATTTACCCCTGAAATGACAGGCAACAATAGAATAGTAATTTCAGAAAAGGTGGTTCTATGATAAACTCAAAACCCCACAAGTCCAGAGCCATATCATGAGAGATAGAAATGCATCTCTGGTAAGGCTGCCCTGTTCTAGATCCTGACACACTTGTGTCACTATCCATTCTCTGTTGCTGTGGTTATTTTTAGAGTTATGGTTGTTTTGTTGCCACTGTCAGTAGTTTTTAAGTTGAATAAGTGTGCTGAAGTCAATGAAATTGCTCCCTATTTCCAATGCCTTTTGTGATCTCTGATCCAAAGTGTTGTCCCAGCTCCTGCTTTGTCTATAAGAGAAAAAAAAGTGAGTAGGTCAAGCTGATAAGGAAAAATAAGACCAACTTACCATTTCCATTGGTCAAATCTTCAAAGAGTGGGATTTTAGGTCTCTCTGAAAATGCATCTGCCTGGTTTACCAGAGCTTCCTTCACTGTCTCATAGCCAGAAATCACTACAATTTTCCTGTGCCCCAGCTGAACACTGAAGACTGGACCATATTTTTTGGACAGCTGTCAGGAGAAGAGAAGAGTGATTTACAACTTTTACAGCCTAAAAAGAAATTAATGACCCTTTCCAGTGCTGCTTATTTTCCGGTCTTGTCTCTGGGTTACTAACATGGTAGATATTTTCCTGACTACAGGGAAAGACACTTGATTTAAATGATGGGAATGTGCCAGACATTGTGGTGGATAATGACTAAATGGCACAGTTAGGAGCAGAATTCCATTATGCTAAACTGAGCAGAAGTGTCAACAGCTGAAACTCCAAGTCAGCAAAGGATTGCACTGAGAGTTCTGTCTTCCCTCAGAAACCCTTGTAAATTCAATTTTTGACTCATGTTTTCACACTTATCTCTATACTCTTATGTTTCTTTTGTGTACGGGCTACACCTGAACAACCTGTTCAACTGTTTGCTACCATTATTTTATTAGAAATAAATCAGTTTGTTTCCGGGCCAGGATTTAGCATTAGATACATTTTAACTTTTTATGCATGACTACATGCACCATGAATCTGCCTCAGAGACAATGTGGTACCTTTTTAGCTGGTACAGGTAGATTTATTTTTATGCAACTCGGTGTTCCTGATTCTTCTGACAACTGGAGGGAGGTTTCCTGACTGCACTCATTTTCTTGTGGGTTTGCAGAGAGAAACAGAAGGAATTTATTTAGCATCAAGATGCAAAATGTTCAGCAAGTGGTAAGTTAGGACAGGCAGCTGAAATAATAGGAGCTGTGACCCATATCTGAATTATGCTCAAGTCAGAGAACCAATATCCAGCATCAGAAAGGAATCACTGAATTACAGCAGATACATGTTGGTTCTGTTGGCCTGAAAACAGATGGAACTTGCTTTTGTCAACACGATTGGGCTGTGTTGGAGAGCTACAGTCATTTCATATATTGCTCTAAGCAGTCTTTTGATTTGTGGGTACAGCATCCATACAGGTTTGTTGGTGCAAATATCCCTTTCAAAATCATCAGCAGGGAAGATGTGCAATTTTAATGTCTAAGCAGTAAAAACTCTAAGAAAGGAGTGGGTTCATAGAATTCTTCTGACTCAAAGTCAGAAAAGCCCTGCAATAAACTAGTCAAAGAAAGCATTAGAAGAAAATGGAAAGATTTATTATTTTGGCAAAGGTTGGCCCTGAATATTAAGAGTATATAGTTATATCTTCAGCTTTTGGGGAAGAAGAGAGGAAAGGGAGATGAGAACATTAATAAATCAGTGAAGCCAAGATGCTGCAGTCACAGCTCCAGGTACATCAATAATCAGTGGAAAGCAGAGAGGTTTACACCACATATCAAAATCATTCCTTATTCAGTTGTCTTTTTCTAAAAATTACCAGAAAACTAAGGTGGACGTTTGCTATCAATTTAAAAGTTGTTGAAGGCTGAAACCTGGATGATGCATGAAGAAAATGAAGTAAAAAACCCACCCTGCATTCAACATTTTCTGCTCAAATAACCATCTCTGGGTCCCTTGCTAAAGGCTCATTCATGGATGCAGTACATTGGGTGCAATAGGAGAAATTCTCTGGCATCTTGGACTGTGGGGCTTGGTTGATAGGACCAATAGAAGAGAAAAATGAGTACCTGTAGATAAGTCCTGTAGGGTCTCTTCAAGTCAAACAAAAGAAGGTTTCCAATTATAGGTAATGGTCTTGGACCTGGAGGAAAATTCTGTCCTCGGTTGCTGTTCCAGAAACCTGCTGTTTTCAAAATGGAGAGAAAAGCCAGGATAGACACTAAAACAATGGAAGTGCTGCTATTCCAGAAACTTAATGTTTTCGAAATGAATAGAAAAGCCAGGATGAACACAAAACCAATGGAAGTGCTGCTGTTCCAGCCCATCTCTATTCAGCCAAGTATTTGCCACAGAAGAGAAAACAGAAAATGTGGACCCTGGATCTCTGTCCTCCTGAAATATTTTCGCTTGAGAGGCTCTTGGGTTAGTCCATAAACCTCTTTTCCAGGGAAGGATATGTTTTAATTGCAGCTGGTGACTTGTTCTCTTCCCGTGTGCTTCCTAATGAATCCTCAGAAGGGTACAGGGGTATATAAGTGTGTGCTAACTGGGTGAAAGTGGGGGTCACTCTGTAAGTGTGAAAGTCCAAGAATATGGGTAACTGCAGGTCATCAACCTGACATTTGATATAAAGGCCATAAATCCTGCACACTCTCCAGGTTACTGATTAATCATGTTTTTACCTTTAGCACAGATATCCTCGATACCCTTGAGAAATCAAAATTCCACTACCCAGAGGTGTAGCGCACAGATTTATTATTTTAAAGTGTGCAATGTATGAATGCGAGACTCACAAGCTGAGAGCAAAGGAATCTGTTTGTTGCAGAGTTCAGGCAGTACTTATACATTTACTGTGAGAATCTCTGTCCAGTTCTTCACACGCAACCCGGCTGCAGGCCTCTAATAAATCTGTTGGCCTGACAGTCTATTATTCTTCTCAAGGTTTGCAGGCTTCGAGGAAATAGGACGCCTTTCCTGTTTTCAGATTGTGTGTAATCTGCTTTCTCCCATGCTTCCCAGGGCTTTTCAGGCCTGCTGTTTCCTCACAAAACTGTTTATGGGTGGCATAACTTTGATTCCATTGAATTCATTGGGAATTTGAAATCACAGAATCACAGAATTATGTCTGAATTTGTCTGGTCCAATCCCCCTTTCAAGCTGGGCCACCAAGAGTCACATGCCCCAGCCTATGTTCTGACAGTTTTTGAGTATCTCCAAGGACCTAAAAAATGATATGATCCTAAGGAGGGAGACTCCACATCTCCTGGGCAACCTATTGCCTCTCACAATACAAAAGTGTTTCCTGATGTTCAGAGGGAACCTTCTGTGTTTCAGTGTGTGCCCATGGCATCTGGTTCTGAGGCAAACACTGAGAAAAGTCTGGCTCTGACTCATTTGATCCTTCCCCAGGGGTTTAAACTAAATAAATCAGAGCCCCCTGAGACTTCCCTCCTCTAGGTTAAACTCCCACCTCTCTCTGTTTCCTCATGTAAGAGATGTTCCAATCACTCCAACATCTTTGTGGCCCTTTGCTGGATGTTCTCCAGTCTGTCCATATCTCATTGGTGCTGGGAATCCCAGAACTGGACACAACACTGGGAAGAAATGTCCTCTGTTGGCTGGGGAAAGGGGGATAAGGTCCAGACTAACTCAGGAGTCTCAGAGTCTGAGACACTGAACAGCAGAGGAGGAGGTGTTGAAAGAAGAAGCCAAGGGGAAGACTGGACAGAAAAGTTGAGTCACAGCACACAGAGCAGTGTTGGGAAGAGTTTTTTAGTAGAAATCTAGAACACTAAATGGCGTGTGGCCTTGAAGCCAGAACCTGAAGCTTGTGTGAGGTGAAGTGCCTCAAGGCTGAGCCCTCATCCTTCTCTCCCAAAAAGTGTCAGAGGCCCTGCAGAGACATGACCAGAGGCAGAGGAGAGGAGGGAATGGGGGAATTCCCCAGGGAATGGAGGTGCAGAGACCTAGAGGAAAAGAGCCCTGGACGTGTCTGGGAGCCTGGGAGAGAGGCTGGAGCAAGCCTGCTCTTGGCTTGGCTCACCCTGAGCCTGCTGCTGTCCCCACGGACTCTGAAGGACAGACCAGGACATTTCACCTACCTGGAAGGTGTCCTGGAAAAAGTCCAGGGACAGTGTCTAGCTGTGCTTCAGTTGGCTTGATTCTACTTCATCTTTCCAGAGTGGGTAAAAAGGCACTGAAAATGTCAAGTTTTCCACATATATAGAATTTAACTAATAGCAAGGAACTGAGAGGAGGTTGAAAGGTGAACATTTTGCAGGAGGCTGCAGAAGAACAGGAAAAGATCTCCTTTGGCAAGAGGAGACATTTTGTTAATATGTTTTAAGAAAAGGTTGATCCCAGTAAGTCAAAAAGAAGACATCCCCAATAAATGTCAAACAAATACAGCTGGTCACCTGATCATTCAATTAATGCTTTTATTCAGCAATAGATTTGAGCACAAATCTTAAAAGAAATTTTGTAAGCAAATATTCAGCCAATGGCTTTCAAATAAATTTTCTTTTCAGTAATGAAATACAAAGGTACTTCTCTAACAGAGGTAGGAATGGAGAACTATAAGACAGACTCCAAAGCTCTGGTCACCCACTGGTATTCTGAAAAGGGCTGACAGTAAGCTTGACCTTTGGTTAGTTTAAGGAATATATCATTAAAGTTTTTACTCATTAAAAAAACAAGCACACAATACCTTACGTAAGCTCTTTTAATGTAAAAACAAGTCCAAGTGAGAACAAAGGTAATACACAAAGGGTTTCATGGTTGTTGGAAGGGATAAAACATTGCCAGTCCTTTATGAGAAAGAAAATAAATGCTGATGATTGTGAGCCTCAAATTTAGAGTAGTTGTACTTTAACTTTTGTTTACTTTTCAGTCCTGTCCTTTAAACTCATCCTCCACTGTGTCTTGTTTAACTCCTTGCTTTCCTTTTCTGCCTCTGTAAGGCTTCCTCATGGAAGAACAAAAGGGCTCTTAGTAAAATATTTTAACCTTCTCTCTTTTAAGTGTCCAGTCACATATTACACAGAAGTTTTAACTAATTATTAATGAAGCTCTGCTGATTCAAGGTATCCAAAGCTGTGATTAATTGGGAAATAACCAACCAAAGGAAATACCCCAAGCCAGAGAACCAAATGCCACTGGCATCTGCAATGTGGAGGGGAGAAATTAGGGTAAAAAAACTTTGGAGAAACAAATTGTATACTTTAAAGGCACAGTCACATGGAAAAGCAAATAACATTTAAAGCTCTGATTAGACAAAGGGATTCATCTCCCTACTCTGTTTTTTGAGAGAACCTAAGGGACTGATCTCTCTGGGGGAAGAATCTTCTGAAGAAGAAGTTTGGGGACAATAATGAGTGCTTAGAGGATAAGGGTATGGATTACTATGGAAAGATTATAAGGAGAACTGGAGAACAAAACTGTATAGTTCATTTTTTCCCTTTTGGATTAAAACAAACACAAAACCAAAAAACCTAAATGTTATTGAGGGCATCAATCACCAGGAGAGATTAAAGGTTGGATATTAGGAAAAAGTTCTTCACTGGAAGAGTGCTTAAACATTGGAACTGGCTCCCCAGGGAAGCAGAGGAGTCACCATCCCTGGAAGTGTTCAAGAAGTGAGTAGACACACCATTCTCAGTGTGGTTTACTGGCCGTGATGATAATCCATCCAAGGCTGGACTTGATGATCTTGGAAGTACTTTCAAATCTTAAGGATTCTATAATTCAAAGATTTACTGCCAGTGCTTGGTGCTTCCTCACTCAGGTATTCCTGTGTGGTCAGCACTCAAAACTAGTGAAATTACCTCACCCTCTTTAAGGTGAATGAAAGACCCTCTGAACTCCCAAGTAGGAATTTGAGGGGAGAAATTCATGTATTAAAGATAAGACTTTTACAGGCTGTCCATAGATGGAATCTTTTTCAAGTACTTCAACACTTTGTAAATTATGCACAAAATACTTCTAAAATATTTACAAACGCAATATTTACGTTGTGAAATGTTTCCCCAGCTTTTAGGAAAATGAATGTGTGACAGCTGTGAGAGGATAAAGGACATCTTACAGCCAACAAGCCGGAAAAGAGTCATTCATTGCACATCTGCAAAAGAGCTTATCTGAACTAAAGTGTGATACAACAAATATATTTTTATTCATGGGTAGAATTCTGACATATCTAGCAGTATACAGCAGGTATAACATATGGGACAGCCCTGCCTAGTATCTTTCTAAAGATTTTCAAGGAAAAGTACATCAGCAGAAATGGAAATATGAGAGGCGTTTTCCTGTTATGTCTGATAAGCAAGACTTGAAAGAAGTTCCTAGTATAAAAAAAAAGGTTGAAAGTTCACCCACTTTGGCCTGTTATTCAGAGACATCAGCAGTAACTTTCCCTGAATGATGGATTGAGGCACTGTGTTCCTTCTGTTTGATTTCCACTTCCCATCCATTGTCTCTCCATGGATTATCCCATGCAAGAAGGCACCTCATGGAGCTCCTTCAGCTACCTCAATTTTTGTCTCTGAACTCAGCAGCCACTGTCATCACTTCTCCAATTAATTTTCCTTAATTTAGCTTCAGTTTTCTTCTCTTTGCTTTTACTTCTGTTAGGAGAAAGTGACTTCAGAGTCAGTGATTTGTGGCTTCTGTAGGTTGAACGTAGCTTCTTTCCAATCAGTTCCAAACAATACATATTTTTCTGGAGCTGGCATTAGTTCAGGTTATATTTCTTGACATTAACACTGCTACAATCCACTTATTATTACACTTACTATTATATTACAATCCACTATTGAATAAAATAAGACTTATTATGCAAACACTTGCTTTTCATAGCTCCTGCTCAGTTCCCTTATTATGTCCTTGAAACTAACTAAATCAATGACAATAAATAAATACATCTATGACAATTATGAATTTTTTTACAATTTCACTGTCTTTTCCCTTTCAATAAACATATTCACAATGAATCAATACTCATATTGCCTTATCAATCACTGAATTCTCTGCTTTGCCATAAGAATTATTTCAACATCTTGCTTCCTGTCACAATCAAACTTCAAAATACACCACATTTTCTCCTCCATCGGAAAAGAGGACACACTTTCTTAAGAAGTTAAGCTGGGATACTCTGGTGAAAAGTTTGTTCAAATCCATATAAAAAATATAAAATATAAATTCATTTCTTCTTGATTACCCCTATACAGTTGAAGGATGTAACTCAGAAATCTCACAATTAAATATATTATCCTGTAATCTTGAAACCCAAAGCTTTTTACAACACCTATATTGTTGTCAGTGTCAGCAAAAGATAAAATATAGATAATTTTAAAAAGCAGTTTGTGGTGCCTTTTTCTGATGAACAAATATATTAGAAGGACTTAATTTATTCACCTGAGCTTGGCATAATGACTAAGTAATCTAAAATCAAGCTTGTTTTCTTTTACAAAAATATAGCTATCTTCAGCCTTTTCTTAAAAACCTGGTGTGGTTGGGATAATACTTGGATGTTGTTTCTTAGCACTAGAAATAGAAAAGAGCATCATTAGGACAAATATTGCAGATTAATTATTTTTCTACATGGCAGCTTCAAATCTGCTGCGCTCATCACGGTGGCTGGAGTGAATTTCGGGTACTGTCTCCTCCTCTGGAACCTGCCATGAGAAACAAAGGAGAGCTCAGTTAAGGACAGACAGATTTGCTTTTGCCATAAAAGAAGACTAAAATGTGCTTAGAATGTAATTATATTTGCATATATTATATATCTGTTTATTAACATTGACACAGACTGACATGAACCATCAATTCTGGATACTGAAGGATGAACTTAGGGTTTTCTTCATAGCAGGAGTTTAATTAAAATTATTAGAATTAAAATTATTTATTATCATTATTATCATTACAAAAACCTAATAAAATTTCTTTTAATTTCACATTTTATTTGCAAGGAATGTATATCATATATTACTTCTTGCCTTGCCTTTTTGGGTTTGCCCTGGAATAAAGTATAAAGTTCAGATTGCCTGGATTAAGAATATGTTATCAGTTTCTGATAAGGAAGAGGATACCTAATACAGTGAGCACATAATAGACAGATAAAGGCTTCCACTGTGACATCAGTTTATTGTCTCTATTTCTGCTTTTTGTTCAAGGTGAGTCCAATGAAAAAGGCATGATTATCTAAGAAGTCCAAAAATGATCCTGAAGGTGTCCTTGATAAATTCACAGCCTGAGGTAGATCAGCATTTTTGAGTTTTGAAGAGGCAGCCTTTCTGATTCATGTCTGCAAACCACAAAGCCCAGGAGAGCAGGGCTGCAGTGGCTGCACATCCTCCAACATAATGAAAATAAAAGGAGGTTGTGTCTTACCTCCCAATAAGCAGAGTCATCAAAGCAGTTCTGGTCAGATACTTGTCCCAAGAAGGGCAGCTTTAGAATAGCACCTGCAGGAAAACCAGCATCAGAAGTTTAAAAAATGAAGAAAATGACCAAATAAATGTCCCTCAGATGTGCCCTAGGCAGTCAGCTAAGTTTTCTGACTGATTTCCTCATCTACAGAAATATCCAACTATCCTGGAACATCAGGTCAATTATTCTGAGAGGTTTCTCTCATACAAACATGAATAAGAGCATAAATAAATGCTTGTTTTTAATTGACCAGATTTCAGACCAAAATTTTCTATTTCAGGCTGATTTTTTGTTTGTTTGTTTGTAAGTATTGACAAACACATGGAAAGTGTGACACCTCATTGAGTATGTCTTGATCTCAAACTAGTTACTGCTCAGAATTCGAAGTATCTGAATCTGGAGAAGAATTCCTCCCAGAACAACACATTATTCCTATAGATACAAAATCAGTATCTTTGGAGCATGTACTCAGTAAAAGATATAAAATAAAAGAATCATAGAAACATTTAGGTTGGAAAAAACCTCCAAGATCATCAGGTCCAGTCCTAGACCAAACACCATCTAATCAGCCAGACCAGAGCCCTGAGTGCCACAGCCAGTCACTCCTTGGACACCTCCAGGGATGGGGACTCCAAACCTCCCAGGGAAGCCCCTTCCAATGCCTGACCACCCTTGCAGTGAAGAAATCCTTCCTGACGAACCTGAACTTCATTTGAAGACAAAAACATTGGAAAACTGCTTTTCCATGTTTGAGTTTCTGGTACCGGGACCCCCATTATTTCAATTTTGTATTATTCACACAAAATTGTTTATACATTTAAGTTCTCCATGGAGAAGCCTCTAAATTCACATGTGGTTTGAGTCACTATAAGCATCCCACTGACCTGTGAGTGCTCCTCCCACCAGTGCAATTCCAAATGTACTTCCCAGGGCAGCAGCCTGCATGGCAGGAGTAAGTGGGTGACCATTCCTGAAAAGAGTAGAAAACCAAACCTATCAAAAAATTGTTTCACTTTGAGACTGATGATCAGTCTTGCAACTTGTACAGTTGTACACATTGTACTTTTGTACTACAAGCACAATTGTACTTGCTGCATGCTGGAAAAGTTGACTCATAGGAAAATATTCTAGAATCTTTATGGTTGGAAAAGATCTCCAAGATTATAGAGTCCAACAAATCCAGCCATTGCTGTATGCAATGACTTTAATTTAGCTTTGTTTTAGGCTACAGATGAAAACAACTTCTTTGAGAAGGTTATTAATGTCCTGTATTTAGAGAATGTTCCCTGTTGCAAAAAGATCAGCATTTCATCTTTTTGGAGTCTTATGAGACAATGGAAAAAACTCATTTTGCCTTTTTTTTTTTTTAACTCTTACAAATCCCAGAAGTGTAATTGTAGAGTCATAATAAATACTTTTCTATGTTTGAATGGTTCAGTGTGCTGTTTCTTTATGATGCTTTAATGAATTTATTTTTATTTGAGCTTTTAATCTGTAACAAGCTTGGCATTTAAGCAGCGTGCTAAAGGTAGGAGATCAAGAAGAACCCAAATTAAATGAGAGTACAACGCTTCACATCAAATCAATGACACACTTCTGAAAAAAAAATCATAATTAGATCCAAAGAAGGTAGCAAATTAGAACAGACCTTCAAAAATAAAAAAACCTTCTTTCTCTCGTCTCTCTATAACTCACCTCTCCTCTGTTTTTATTGCAGTTACTATGATGCCAGCAATACCTCCCAGAATTCCAGGTAAACCATGTAAGTTATGAACTCCACAAGTGTCTTGAATTTTCAGCTTGGATGCCATCACAGGCTGAAATGAGGGGAAATAGGAAATTTATAGTGAGTTTATAGTCTTCCATGGTCTCTAGATGGATATGCAAAAGAAAGAGCAGAAGTTCAAGAATCAAATCATTATTAAAAGTCACCATTACCTGGAGTGTGCTGTATCTATCCTTCCTTTGTAGCAAACCAAGGGAGCTCAAGGAAAGCCAAAGAGAAATAAAAATGGGAGCAGAGCTGGCTCCCCAATACTTACAGTCAGGAACTGGAATCCAAGGACAGAGACAATTCCAGCAATGACCCCAATGAACATGGCAGAAAAAGGGTGGATTGCCAGGTCAGCACAGGTACCCACGGCTACTCCTCCTGCCAGGGTGGCATTTTGAATGAGAACCTGCAGAGGGGACACAGAGCAAGGCAGAGGTGACACATGAGGAGCAGAGGCTTCTTTCAGGGCTGAGTGCCCCCAAAGGCTCTCTTGCACATGCTGGGCTCAGACAAATAACTGAGCTGCTGGGAAGGAGTGGGTGAGAACAGAGGTGGATTTTAGGGCAAGGGGACAGAAGCTGGTTTGGTTTTGTTTGTTGTGCAGCTGCACTGAGATTTCCAGGGAATGGGTCATTTCCTTGAGAGAACTATTTTGGTTCTTTTAATAATGTTCAAGTAGGAACATCTTTGGAATAAGATCCAAAAGTCCACCTGAACACTGGACTAATGTCTCTAAGGTCCTGCAGGTTACGTGGACAAGAGAGAATCATCAGAGAACCATTAAGGCTGGAAGACACCTTTCAGATTAATAAATCCAACCATCAAACCAGTACAACCACCATGTTCCCAGACTACTACACTGCTTTCCAACCCTTTCTGTGAAGAAATTTCTCCTAATATCCAGTCTAGACCTGCTCTGATGCAACTCGAGGCTGTTTTCTCTCATCCTGTCACTTGGTATTTGAAGAAAAGACCAAGCCCCACCTGGTTCCACCTTTATTCCTCAGGGAGTTGTAGAGAGTGAGAAGATCCTCCTCCCTGAGCCTCCTTTTCTTCAGAGTGAGCCCCCCAGCAACCTCACCCACTTCTCATCAGACTTCAGAGATTTTACAAATATAATAGCTCTAATTCTGGCCATAATATGGGGAAAAGCTCCAGATAGCCTGGACAGATAGATGGACACTGGGAATCTGCTTTCTCATGCTTATTAGAGAAGGTTGGCTCGATTTAATGAGGGTTATGATGTGATTCTTACCATACTGAATTTGCCTCTTTTATCCACCAGGCTGGAGAGGGCGAATGTTACGACGGTACAGGCAGCCAAGGAGCAATAAGTGTTGATAATGGCTGTTCCCTGGGCTTTTGAACCATTTGCAATGGCAGAGTTAAAACTGGGCCAAAAAAGCCAAAGGAACAGGGTACCTGGGTGAATAGAAGTCAAAACAAAGCAAAAGCTATTTTAGTCACAAGGGCTAATACAACAGAGTGTGCTACAAGAAATGAGGACAATGATTAACGAGAAACATGGAATAGACAAAATTCTGGGAGAAATAATAGAATATGCAGAAGATTTTGACACTGGCAGCTGGAATTTTGATGCATGGCCTCCTGTGGAACCTTACTGGAAGGCTTTAATGACTCCTTGTCATGCCCCACTCACTGTCAGAGCCCACCACCACTGTGAAACCCCAGCCAGAACAGGATGCATAGGCAACACGATTCACATGCAACTCCTGTATCATCTGTCAATACAACTGAAAGTTTTAGTTGGTGAATTGTTCTATGAACAGTTCTCATGGACAGATAGATATATGGTGTCTGACATTCATTACCATGGCAGGCATAAATCAATCCTTTTAATTATGGACAATTGCTTTGGAAATACTGTTGAAAAGCACAAGATTTAACAAAAAGGAAGTCACCACTAAGGCACAGTGAAAACACATATTTAATTTGATCTTTACATCCTTGGAAGCAAGGAAAAGTATGTGCCACTGAAAATATGGTGCTTGCATGAGACAAAAAGGAATTTGCCTCCAGAAGTGTACTTAGGAAAATGAATGTACCATAATAATAGGCAGTCAGAAAAAAACAGAGATGGATGAGGGAACAACAGCTGATCAGCTCTCGATATTACTTCACTTACCAATCATGGCAAACATGTCTGAGTGATAGGTGGATTCATCATTTTCATGTTTTTTTGACAGACCAGGACGGTACAAGACGAAAGCTGCAGCCAAACCAAAATAAGCTCCAAAAGCATGGATAGTCATCGAAGCTCCAACATCTGTGGCCTGTAATAGGGACCCAAAATAATTTACACAGCATAAAGACAAATGTCTGATGTACGAGGACTTAATGGTTTAATTCTGTGGTAGAAACCAGAGCCTAGCATAAGCAAACTGGAAGTATTACAAAGTGAAAGCATTTGATATAAAGAGAAAACAATGATTGCTAAATAGTTGTACCTGTAATACTTTGGTTACTAGATGTTCATTGCATGCAAAGATGGTGATCTCCAGAAGAGTCAGGATCAGCATCTGAATGGGACTTGTTTTCCCCAGGAGTGCTCCAAATGAAATCAAAGCAGTTGCTGTGCTGAAGTCAGCATTTATCATGCTGAAGTTAAGAAAAAAACCCCAAAACACATAAAAAAAGGAAAATTAGTTAAAAAATCTGTAGTATCCAACATGCCATTAAAATGAAATGATTGAAATTATAGAGCTTTAACTCTTCAGATACAAAATTATCAAGCTCATCTTTGTGAATAACACTTAAATCAAACCTTTCCAGATGGATCTTGTAAGGATTTTACCAGCTAGTGAAGAGTAAGTGTAGAAGGTTTCTTCTTATACCACACATGTGCTTAGCTGGCTGAAATTATGATGAAAAGGCAGATGAGAAGTGTATTGGGATGTGCAGGGATGTCATGGAATCACAGAATCATTTCGATTGGAAAAGGTCTCTAAGACCATTGAGTCTAACCTTTTACCCAGCACTGCCAAATCCACCACTAAACCATGTCCCTGAGTGACACATCAGGTTTTTTAAAAACTTTTTTGGGGATGGTGACTCCACAGCTTTCCTGGGCAACTTGTTGCAATGCCTGACCATCATTTCTGTGAAGAGATTTTTCCTAATTTCCAACTAAACCTCCCTTGGTGTGATTTCTTCTTGTCCCTTCAGGCCATTTCCCCTTGTCCTGTCCTTGTTCCCTGGGAGCAGAGCCCGACCCCACCTGGCTGTCCCCTCCTGTCAGGGAGCTCTGCAGAGCCACAAGGTCCCCCCTGAGCCTCCTTTTCTCCAGGCTGAGCCCCTTTCCCAGCTCCCTCAGCTGCTCCTCATCACCCTTGTGCTCCAGACCCTTCCCCAGCTCCGTTCCCTTTTCTGGACACGCTCCAGCCCCATCAATTTCCAGCCCTGACTGCCACCTAGGCTCCAAAGCTGACAGAGAGGTCTCTGGTCAGATGGTTTATATAATCCTGGAAGCCTTGCACACCTGTCTCTCTCTGTGCATCATCCTTGCATGAGCTGTCAGGCAGCACCAGTGTTAATATGTTTTGGGGATTGGCAAAGGTAAATAAAACCAGAAATTGATCAAAACCTTAGAGCACAGAGAGGCACTAACCTGTGAGTCCCTCTGAAAATGCCTGCCTTTAAGTATTAGGGAGCTGCTTGTATCATTCCTGCTTTCCCCTCAGTAATGTTTGGATGCTGTTCATTTCAAAATTGTTTACACGTTGTCTCAGAAAATAGAACTGCACATGTGGAAAACACTCTGAGACATTGGTAGAGGCAGGACAGGTGAATAGGAGGGGCATGAAATGGGCTCAGAGACATTGCCCATGAGGTCTCTTATCCTGATTGGTGTTCAGACCCTGCTGGAGTGTGATGCTCATGAAAATCATTCCTTGAGAAGTAAGAGAAAACCTTGTGAGTGCATAGACATGCTGCTCCAGCCTTTCTTATGTGACCCCATGTGTGGTGGAAAGACAGATCCTTCCATGTCTGATGGATGTGCTGTGCTACTGCTGGAAATCTTCCAGCCTCCACAGCTTAAGAGATTCAAAGCAACCTCTCTACAGGACCCACACCTCCCACACCTCATGTAGCACCTCAAATTTTTTCACAAACTTTGGTTACCTTGGCCCAGGAGTGGCCCCCTCAATGGTGAAGGGCAGAAGGATGTGGAGAGGTGGACAGTAAGGCTTAATGAAATTTAGGGAAAGTCTGACCCCCATAGGTGCTGTGGTTTATGGCTTCTCCTGATATCTTCAGGGATAGAAATATCAATTTTTGTAAATTCACATATACCTTTCGATGTTAATAGGAATTTTCCCTCCTTTCATGTGCCAAAATCCTTGCATCAGAATTCCCCACTGGAGACCGAAGGCAGCGATGAGCATGTTGAAACCAACACTGCTGAATCCATATTTCTTCAGAAAGGTCATCAGGAAACCAAATCCAACAAATATCATCACATGGACATCCTGAAAGTCTGAAGGGGAAACACGTCTGTGTAGGGACTGTGAAGAGTGGCTGTGAAGGGTGAAAAACTAGGGACACAGGCAGCTGGAGTAGAGAAGAGTTCCAAACTCCAGTTATGCATTCTTAGCACTTCATGACCAGTCTACCAGCTGCAAACTGAATGTCTGGAAAATGCCACACTTAATTATTGATTGTATTGATTCCTATTTCATTATGGAAAGCCACTGGATCTCTGTATTTGCAAATTTATTTGTGTCTGGCACCGTCCTCTCTTTGTGAAGCTACCAGGAAAGTTGTCACAGCTTCCTGTCCTTACAGAAGAGTTAAGTTCCCCTTTCAGTAAAGGTGGTCAGAGCCAGTGTGTCCTGACTAACTCCAAAATTGTACATGGGACTTGTTTGGGTGACTGCTAGGTGTCCCAGTGCAAAGCAATGCTTGGGATCCCTAAAAATTACTGTCCAAGACATTGATCTTTTTACATGGATAAAAGAAAAATTAATTTTAAGGCAAAGTTTAAATTTAAGAATTAATAGAGTTAATCAGCATACAATTAGTCGTCATTCAAATATTTGGTAGTTTTTTGGAATATGAATTTTGTTAAAATATGATTAGTTATTTTTCTATTTTTTTAAGTTATTACTTTAATTTTATTTTTTTTTTCATTTAATACAAACTGAATCTATTACCACAACATGGATACTTTAAAATTTATTTATTTTTGTTTTTTACTTTTAAGCATTATGTGATTTAATTGACTCTAAACCAGACAGGTTTGAGTCCTGTAATTGCAACTTTTTGTCTGATTTTACTGTTAGTAAGAACCTCCAGTATAGAGAGACTGTTTTTAATAATTTTTATTTCCTTGCTCTTGCATGCCAATAAGCATGAAAAACGTCAGCTGGTTAGGATAACATTTGGCTTGAAGTCGCAATTCCCGTTACCTGAAGCATTCCTGTTTTGCATTTCCACGCTTGGCCAAAAGAGGGCCCAGAAGTATAAGAAGTTACTGAAGATTCCTAATAAACTCTTTTATATTTGCAGTGTCATATTCCAGCCCTGCCCCAGCACTGAAATAAGCAGTAAGAGCCTTTACTTTGCATTTAAGAAACAGCATCGATGGTTGTCTTGGGATTAGATGATCAACTTTAAGGTCCCTTCCAACCCAGGCCATTCTATGATTCTATAGAAATGCAGGTGGTTCACAAACACCTCCAACCCTTTTGCTTCCTCTTCAGGCTGGGCATTTTAAAGCTGTCTGGATTTATTCACAAAAATGGTTTAAAGTCTTGGTTAAAAATAGGTTAATTCATGGGTGTTGAGGAAAAACTCCTTCTAGTTTAGCCTGTACCTTGAACTTTAATTACCTCTTATGCATTATTTTAAAGAAGAGCAGGTCTGGAATGACTTTAAATGATGAAGAAAACAGCATAATTTGAACTGAACTGTTTCATTAACCGGTTGTGTTTGACAAAGCATAGCACATCGGTGAGAGAGGAAAATAAAGATTGGGAAAAAAACTTCAGCAGATCCTGAACAAAGCCACTACACAGAATTCTGCAAGGCTGGCAAAGACCAGCAAAATAACTCCACTGCAAGGTGGTCAATCCCAACACAAAGATGCTTGTGAAATACTCTAAAACTGATCCTGCTTGGTCGGAAGTTGTAAACCATAGAACTCTGAACAAGAGGGATGCAAAAGTTTCCCTAACCATGAGTCATGAATGCTCACAGGACAATGTGTACAGGATGCCAACATGAAAGAAATCCTCTTGTAGTGCTCTGAGAGCCACCACACCCCCGGGTTCTCCCATTCCAGTGGCACAACACAGCTGAAACTGTCCATCCAATTTGCCAAGCCTGTACCTGTATCCACCACAAATAAATTATGATGCAAAGCTACGCTTTGGGAATGATCTCAGCTTAGCCCTCCTTACCTGAGTGCAAAGCTATGTTGATCCTCCACTATTTTTTTTTAAATTTTTCTTCTGTCCAAAGCCACTTAAACAGCTTGAATTCATGGTGTTGAGGTGTCTAAGGCATACAAAATCAGGCCTTGCATTGCAGTCCTGAGAATATAAATGACCTCCTGGATGAAAGAACTAAATCTCTGAGGTATGGACAGGTTAATATCCTAAGGCATAGCATGGGAAACAGTTTAAACCCACTATTTTAGGGACTCAAGGGAAGTCCTGGCTCAAGATATTTCCTAATACACCTATACAACCATAGCATTAAACTTCTGCCAAGTCCTCAGGCAAACTGCACTTTTATTTGCACTTTGTATAGATAAATTTGAGAGTAAGGGGTCCTAAAAGTGAACATATAGGTACTGTGAAAATCTACTTTTATTCCCATTCCTTGTTGGAAATTACCTCTGTGAGGTCAGCATCTAAAAATTCAACATGGCATTGGTGGTGTTTGCTTGCTTTATGTCTCTACTGGTAATCTGAACAGCCTGGCCAAAAGAAATATGTGTTCTTCTCTCCTAAAACACTGTTCCCACCTTAAGAGCAGCCCCTTATCCATGCTATGCCTAAAGCCATGCCAGTTTGCATGAGCCCAAACCATTCCAGAGGGATGCTCACAGGTCAATAGTGTGGGCAGCCAAGGGACAAGTGTGCAGGGATAACACAGCCATACACTGCCTGTGCAGGGAGGCATGGGAAACAGCAGGAAATTCTTCCCACACTTTTAGACACTGATATTAATGAAGAAATAAGCATAGGTGAGCTCTAACTGGGTAGATTACATCTAAAGACCTGTATTGTACTGTCAGTACAATTACCTGTGCTGTCAAAATTATTCATGTGGGTTCTGGCATAACTTTTGCCTAAGCCAACAATCACCTCCTGGGTGACAGTGGACCAAGAGTAATTCCCAATACACTATCTAGATAAGGCCACCTAATTTAGGAACTTAGACAGTTCAATACAGTTGGGATGGTTTAATATGACAACAGCAAGAGAGCTGTTCTTGTTCAGCACAAGAGAAGACATGGCTCTGGGGAGACCTTAAAGCATCTTCTAGTATTAAAGGGGGTTGCAAAAAAGTGGAAGAGTGACATCTTAAACGGGCAGATAATGATAGGACAAGAAGGAACAGTTTTAAATTAAAAGAGGAGAGATTTATATTGGGTATTAGTAAGAAATTCTTCCCTGTGAGGGTGGGCAGGCCCTGGCACAGGGTGCCCAGAGAAGCTGTGGCTGCCCCTGGATCCCTGGAAGTGTCCAAGGCCAGGTTGGATGGGGTTTGGAGCAACCTGGGATAGTGGAAAGTGTCCCTGCCATGGCAGGGGATGGAATGAGATGATTTTTAAGGTCCCTTCCAACCCAAACCCAAGGTCTCTTCCTTTAGCTCTATGAACATCACTGACATGGCCAAACTGTCACAGAGAGGGGGCTCTGGCACAGCCTAGGTTGCCATATCTCAGGGATTCTGTGAGTAATTAGCCCCTCCATCAGCTGATTGCATCTGGAGCTGAATAATGCCCTCATTCGCTGTCCTCTGACCCAGACAATGCTCTCTGTGAGAATACACAACACAAGACTACTCCAACCTGAGATACCATTCCCCCATAACAGCCACGGAAAGGACAGCTAGAATGAGAGAAAAAGAGGGATACATGCAAAGTTACACAGGTGCTACCTGCAGGCAGGGAGTTCTGTACTCTAGGATCCTCATCAAGCACATTGCAATCAGGGATACCTTGCAAGTCACTGAGGCCTCAGAGCCAAAAAACTGAGCAACAAACCTTCAATACTGCCAGGAAAACACAGTTTGCAGCTCTGCAAATTCTGTTTTCTATGTATTCACAATAGTTTTATCTTTGAATGAGGAGGAGGGGGTGAGAGAAGTGAGCAACCACTTCTCAGGCCAAGAGCTTTTTCTGATCTTCACCAAGTATTTGCAGAGCAACAAATCAACAGAAACATTTTCAGGCTAAACCATTACTACCTAAGGGAGCCACTGCTTTGGAAGATAGCAGGGAATGATCCATCTTGTTGCCAAAACTCTGGCCCTTTTTGGACAAACATTTTATAACAATGATGCATATACAGCTCAATTTCCATGTTGTCACAAGACATCTTTTCCAAACCTGGATGGTAGTAATGAAACATTCCATTCATTTTAGTTATTAAATACAGTAATCAGGATAGAAGGTCTGGCAAGAAACACCCCCATCTGTCTCTGGAAAATGCTGAAATATTTCAAAGTAACACACCGTTCACCAAGTCCTAACCTGCTGTGCAAACACTAGAACAATTTCCCAGTCTCTTCTCTCCCAGAACAGTAAACTTCTCAGCAATGAAGTACTTGCAGAATTTTACATGTTTGGCTTTTTCATGGAAGCCTGCTGCTTTCACACCTCAGAAAAACGTGTTTGCCTCAAAACACAACTTTCTTTTCCTTTCTTTATCAATAGGTCTCGTATGTTATTCAGAAATCTTGCTTAGGATCAGTTTAAAGAAATTTCAGCTTCTATAAATCATAGACAGAAGTACTTACGTGGGTATAATCCTGCAGCAGAAGAATTTGTGTCATAATCCACGAATATCCCATACAAAACAATGACAATAACTTCCAGAAAAAGCGCCAGGATCGAGAACTTGAACCTCATGTTGGTGTCAAAGTCTGGAGGCATTGCTGGAGAGCAGGTGGCTGTGAGAGCTTGATAATGGGTGTTTGCCCTCTGAGGAGCCGACTAATTCTGTGGATCTGGGAGATATAGCAAAAGAAAAAAAAAAAAAAGAAAAAAGAGACGTGAACACATCGTCACACCCACTATGGGAGGGAAAAAGTTCAGGTCAATACAGCGATTTCAATTTCCCAGGGTACTTCTGTGTGTGAAATGGTGAAATGCTGGCTTGCATGTGGTTTTGTTTTTGGATTTTTTCCCCAATTTTTAATACAAACCAGCTTATTCAGCCATTCAGTTGTACTTCTCACTGCCTGTATGTATTTTAAAAAGGAAACAGCCTTAAAGAAAATCTCACAGAGCCTGGTTTGCTGCATGTAGTGAGGACCCGTGACTCTCAATTGTGTTTCCTGTAGTCAATATTTTCAAGTTGTAGCTCTTCTTCCAAAGAGTAAATAATTTTGCATTGCAAATAAAACATGGAAAATCACCTCTCTTCATATAGGCTGTGATAAGCAAAAAGAATCTCTTTCGACAACCTGGAGACATTTTTTTTTTAATTTCACAGTGAAGTATTCATTCTCAGCGCACAAGTTCTCATTGCAAACTTTTATTTAAAAAGGAAACTATTGTACTTCTTTATATGTAAAAAGGATATTCATAATCGGTAAAGAGGAAAGCTGTAATTACTAAAAAGAGAAATTTGAAGAGAACAGTTCCATTTTTTATTTTGAATGATTGCTTTTTTTTAATGTTCCCCTTAGCTCAGACAATGGAAATAGGTCAGAGACCAAATCTATTACACTGTTTAAAAAGCTTAGTTTGTAAACTTTCTCACAAATGGAGGAGAAAATTAAATTTCACTTAGTTTACATTTGGATGATGTCTTGCTCTTGAGAGTCGCATTGCTTGTCAAAATTTGTCTTGAGTCCTCAAAGTTTTGTGGATAAGATATTGTATTGATGCGACCAAATTCACCTCTGTTAATCCAGCAGTCAGAAAACAGGGCAAAATTGTACATCAGGAGCTTTTATTTAATGAAAACTTGTATCTATGGAAAAGAGGGATGATATTGTAGTAGTTGACTAATTGCTCATGAAGAAGTAGTGCCAGGGTACAGCAATAAAATGCTGTGTCAGTCCTTGGGTATAAAAACCAGTTTAATATAGAGATGTTGGGAGATGATGCTAAGCTGGGCTGCTGTCCTGGTGAGATACTGCTGGAAAACTGCTCACATGCTATGACATTTTAAAAACTCAGTTATTTTTTTTAAGGTACTTCTATTCTGGTACAAGGCAGTGCCATGACCTTTTCTCTGTTCCTAAGTCCAGTTAAAAAGTCTCTAATATAAAAGTAGAGTTATACCTTTCATATACCTACATTATCCAAACTAAGTTTAAACTTATCACAGCTTTTTCTCCCTGAAAATGAGTCTGTGCATTTGGAAGGGAAACCAAAGTATTTAGAAAGAAAAACTCGTCTATCACATAATCAAGCCTGAGAGTGGCAAAGCTAAAATAAGCACAAATGTGGTTTTTTTCCTTCACAGCAACTGTATTTCATTTGAGCAGCTCAAAGAGAGGAAACAGAGCTTTGTTAAAAAGCTATCACTCATCCTTAGTGCACCACAGGATAGGACACACAGCCAGGTTTGGTTGTGAGGACCTGTCAGCTCCTACATTTGCTCAGGAGGTGATTAAAAAAGGACAAATTCATGAACAAAGTTAATTGGGTTTTTTTTTTTTACTCATAGCTCAGCCAAGAATATCTTGTGTATTCATTGCATAAAGTTTCTCCTAGTGAAGATCTCACATGACATATGTGCAACCCTTATGTTAAGATCTTTCAGGGGTGCAGAAAAGTTTCCTTGCTGAAATCTTATCAGGAAAGAGCCTTTTAATAGTGTTTAGAATTTAAAATGGGTCAAGTCCATTCAATCAGGACTTTTTCTGAGGTTATTATTTTATATCTTAGATCTTATGCAGGTACATACACACACAGAGACACACAGTCTGTACTGGTAGAGTATTGATCCATGTCTTTTTCCTTTTTCCTTGGCCAGGAAGAATAATTTAGCTATTTTCCCAGTGAGGTGAACTAATGCCTAGCAACTACAGAATGGCCCCCAGACATGTACAGGTGATTTACACAGAAATAAGGATACTGAAGAAGTTATATTCCAATATTTATGCACTGTAATATTTATTCTCCTAGATAAATGAAACATTTCTCTCTCACCACTAGCGAGACTGAATCTATCACGGATTATCTTCAGATATTGCCAAATTTAAGCTAAAAGGACTGACAACACAAACTGCCAGGAAGAAGATGCTTTATCCAAGGGGTGGTACTGGATTATTTTGCTCACTGGACCTTTTGGGAAAACCCAGTTTGGCCTGACTTACTGCTTCAGTTTTTGCTTGTTGAAATGGGCTTTGGTGTGTGTCATATTTGGGTCTGGGCATTGCTTCAGAAAATGACAGGTGCCTTGGATATTCTCCTCTCCAAGGGAAGAATTGTGAGTAGCCATGCCTTGGGTCCATACATACCCAGTCTCTGTGGAGAGCACAGAAGGTCTGTCCTGTTAAATCATGGAAACAAGGTCAGGATCTTTCAGCCCAACTTCACTACAGAGTGGAAACTCTGTACATGGGAGGTCCTAAATTTTGGTCTGATGTATTTCCCAGAAGAAGCAGCTGCCATGTCAATGACTGTCTGCCATTCCCATTTTTTTCTGATTGCCTTCTTTCTGGCACAGGCTTTCCAAGTGATGGGAAACATTCACCTCCAACATCTCCTTCAAATGCCTTTATGTGTCCATCCAGGTGCTGCATAAAGCAATCAAAATGCACACATCTTGAACTGTTCCTCTTCAGGAAATTCCCTTATGTCTCCTTATTTGCTTTATTCCAGCCCTGGTGGCTATTAATGCAAAGGTAGGAGTGAGGGTGTTCTTTGACAAATATTGTTGCACACCTGGATCTACTAAGTAACATTACATATTTGTCATTTAAATAGCTGGTGGATTTTTTTATCCAGATTTCCATCTAAATAGGACGTTTGTGACATATCACAAACTTTATGTAAATAAATGTGAACAGTTATGGCAGATTTTCGAGCTTCTGGAAGGATAAAAATAAGAAATAAAGGGGTTACTTGGGCAGTATCTTACCTAAGGAATGAGAAAGAATGTGCATTTAATAATCTTCTTACAGAATGCCCTTTAGCATCATTAAGAGTGGCATTCAACTGACCAGACACACTCAGTGCATTTCTGTACCTGACCTAACCTGCAATGTTTTCCTTTTCAATCACAGACTCATGGAATCATTAAGGTTGGAAAAGACCTCTAAGATCCTGAAGTCCAACCACTAACCCAGCACTGCCACGTTCACCACTATACCAGCACCACCAACTATACTCCCTCAGCTCCATATCTACAAGTTTTTTCTATTTATTTTCCAGAAGAAATAGAAACTTCCAAAGGCAATTGTTTCCATGTTAAAGGAAGTTACCTAAAATACCTGGCTAAATAGGCCAGGTGAATGGAAATACCCTTTTTGGTCATGTTTGCTGCAGGTTCAAATCAGGTTCAGGATGTCTCCTAGAAGAGGCTGATGTTTTTTAAGACTCTAAGCTCAGTTCACTGAAGTCTGAGCCACAAGGATTCCTCAGTCAATTTGGATTTACAAAGCATGACTTGGGTGCATGCTAATCTTCAATTTTCTTCTTGGTGCATGCGCCTCTTGCAGACACAACTATGGGGACCAGGGAGATGGAATAAGATGCATCTTGCCTCCACATTGTGACAGAAATATTTCCTAGAACTCCTGATCTTTGAGCTAAGTTTTTTTGAGAACATTTATCCCATTTCAGAGGTGTTGCGGTAGAAACATTTTTTTCATTAAACATTAACTTCAATTCTTCGAGTCAGCAGACCCTTCTCTCTCCTGAAGCTGAAAGCTCAGCCAAGAAAATGCAGTTTGTCCATGCAATCCTTAAATAACCTCCTTCACCTTAAAGAGGGAAGTTACTTTAATTGGATTTCCCAACTCCTTAAATAGCAACAACAGAAAGGGTCGAGCTGGAAGGGACCACAGTGGCTCGTCTGGTCCCTCCTCCCTGCTCAAGCAGGGTCATCCCAGAGCTCAGGGCACAGGGTTGTGTCCAGACAGTTCTGGAATATCTCCAGTGAGGGAGACTCTGACCCCTCTCTGGACAATCAGTTCAGTGCTGGGTCACTGCTTAGTAAAGAAGTTCTGCCTCCTGTCCAGGTGGAACTTGCTGGGATCAGTTCCTGCCCATTGCCTCTTTGTCTTCACTGCATCCAAATAATCCCCACCAGCCTCTGAGCTGATTTCTTGTAAATGTGGGTTGATATTGCAGTGTCTCTTTCTAAAATAAATGTGTCTTATTTTTCCATTTGAAATCTCACAGACTTTGTTCTCTAAGACATTGCTTGGTTACTAGACAGTATTTTCAATCTTTCCAGTACACAAAGAGCATCAATAGAAGGTAAAACTAGAAGGAATAAGCTTTTTTTCTTCCCTCTAAATAGAATAGGACAAATAATTGCATCCAGTTAGGCTATGTTCAGCTAAAGCATGACCTGTTGAAGAGGAGCATGTTTCACTTAAAAACTTCACTCTTTCATTTCTGCTTTTATTGCATGAATGTTGCAAAGCAGGGGTTAAATGCTGAAACAGAAACTTTTGGTGGAGGTGTATCCCAAAGTTGCAGGAAAGCTGTTTGCTGGAGATAACAGGTTCTGCTCCCTTCTACAAGGACCAGAGGGCCTGTCTGAACTGCTCTTGTGATAAAAAGGAACCTCAGCTAACATGAGTACTTCACATAACACCTAGAAGCTCTACCTATTATTTTGTGAAAGCAAATACTAACAATTAGATGTCTGTGTTTTAATCTCTGATGGTGTGAGTGATGAATCATGTATTTGTATGGACTTTTCTTATTTTAATGTGAGTGTTTCTCTTGCTCCCCATCAGTCCCCTGTGCTTACTTGTAACAGGGCACTTGATGTGGCTGTTTCTGCCTATGAAATCCCTTACAGAATCT